ACCTTTCACAGTTTGACTTGCAAAAATATTGAGATGAATGGGCAAATATACTTGTAATGAAATATAAGACAAATCTTCAATTTGAGTTACTGCATTTTGGCTATAACAATGGTTACCATAACCTTCATAATACATTGCTATTATTTTAGCAATACAAATTTTTGTCCCATACAATGCAATTACATAGTCACTTTGTTGCAATGGAAAATCTTGAGTAATATTTGCCGATTCAACACATATAACTAAATTAAATAATAAATTATTAATATTAAAAATTATATAAATAAATTACATAATTAACATTATATTTACTTTTATTTGTAACTTTATCAGTTTGTTTTTACCTTGATAATTCAAATTTATGTAAACTTGCAAGATTAGCTGTCATTGCCTTCCAATTTTCTTTCCATCGCTTTTCACGTTGTTTAATAAGTTGTACTGCCAGATCATCATTATTCGTAAGATGTGAAATTATATGACTAGCCCTATTTGAATTAATAGTATTTGTGTTTTCATGACCAATCATATATGCATGATTTTGTTTTTCAATTGGTCTTGAATTATATGCTTCATGATCCCTTCATAATTTAATCATAACCAAATAATTCAGCTTTCCTGTTGGAAAAATATATCTAATAGAAGAATCTTTCACGATTATGTTAATACTTAATAATATACTATTAAAAACTTTGATAATATAGTAATATAATTAAAAGAAAAATTCATACCATGAGTAAGTTGTTCATTATTAATTATTCTCATATTATCTAAAGATGAAATAACTTGGGTTTGCCGAATTTGATCATCAACATTCTTAATGTTCAATAAATCAAGAACATTATCAATTCTTTCGGTAGTATGCTTAGATGTTTGACTAATTGCATCAGAAATTTTTTTATCGATTTCAAAGAATTCATTTGAATCATTTTCCAGTTCCAAAGTTGGCTTAATTCCAGTTGATACTTCCAAATTTGGATTATCTATCATTACAAATGGCAGTAATAGTGAATGATTCATATTTGAAGTAGGTTCTATATCAAGTTCTTTAGCAAGTTCAGACGCCAATTTGTAAGAATATTTAACAGCTGAAGTAATATCCTTGTCTGATGGCCAAGTACATAATTCTGCTAACTTGCTTGGATTAATATTTCTGATATTGTAATCAAAATGGTAACCTATTTGAAAGAAATATAAGGGAAAGAAGATTTATAATCGGTTAACTAATAGTAATTTTTACTAGGGCTCCGATCGGTTCAGTTCAGTATGGTTTTTGCCAAAACTGAAATCGAACCAAATTGATTGGTATCGGCATTGTTAATTACCGAAACTAATCGGTTTCAGTAATCATCAATACCAAAACCGACCGGTAAATACCGAAAACCGAACTGATTTACCGATTCATTATCGGTTCAGTTTTAACGTTTTCGCAACGTTTTTTATTAAAAAATGTTTCGCAACGTTTTCTATTAAGTTATTGAAAAAAAACGTTGTGAAACGTTTTTTTTAAAATAAATTAACAAATAAAAACGTTTCACAACGTTTTTATTAAATTATTGAAAAAAATGTTGCGAAACATTTTTTTTTAATTAATTAACTAATAAAAAACATTTCACAACGTTTTCTATTAAGTTATTGAAAAAAAACGTTGCGAAACGTTTTTTTTAAAATTAATTAACTAATAAAAAACGTTTCGCAATGTTTTCTATTAAGTTATTGAAAAAAACGTTGCGAAACATTTTTTTTTTAAATAAATTAACAAATAAAAACGTTTCGCAACATTTTTATTAAATTATCAAAAAAAAATGTTGCGAAACATTTTTTTTTAAATTAATTAACTAATAAAAAACGTTTCGCAACGTTTTCTATTAAATTATAGAAAAAAAATGTTGCAAAACGTTTTTTTTTAATAAATTAACAAATAAAAACGTTTCGCAACGTTTTTATTAAATTATTGAAAAAAAAATGTTGCGAAACGTTTTTTTTAATTAATTAACTAATAAAAAACGTTTTGCAACATTTTCTATTAAGTTACTAAAAAAAACGTTGCGAAACGTTTTTTTTTAAATAAATTAACTAATAAAAACGTTTCACAACGTTTTTTTTCATAACTTAATAGAAAATGTTGCGAAACGTTTTTTATTAGTTAATTAATTTAAAAAAAAATGTTTCGCAATGTTTTTATTAAATTATCAAAAAAAAACGTTGTGAAACGTTTTCTATTAAGTTATGAAAAAAATGTTGCGAAACATTTTTTTTTAAAATTAATTAACAAATAAAAACGTTTCGCAACGTTTTTATTAAATTGTTAAAAAAAAACATTGCGAAACGTTTTTTTTTAAAATAAATTAATTAATAAAAACGTTTTACAACGTTTTTATTAAATTATTAAAAAAAAACATTGCGAAACATTTTTTTTTAAATAAATTAACTAATAAAAACGTTTCACAACGTTTTTATTAAATTGTCAAAAAAAACATTTCGCGACGTTTTTTATCAACATCACAAAACGTTCAGCAAATCAGTTCGGTAAATTTGCTGAAATGATCAGTAAAATTTACCAAAATGATCGGTAAAATTTACTGAAGTGATCAGTAAAATTTACCAAAATGATCGGTAAAATTTACCGAAACTAATACCGAAAATATCAGTTTGGTAAATCGGTTCAGTAAATTGCAAAACCGATATCGAAACCGAAGTTACCGAAACCGATCGGTAAATTTACTGAAAGGTTCAGTTCATTAAATCAGAATACTGAAACCGTTCCGATACTGAAACTGATCGGTTTGGTTTGGTAATTACTGAAACTGATCAGAGCCCCAATTTTTACTTTCTTTCATTAAAACTAGTAAATAGATAATAATTAATATTACAATAATACTAAAAGTATGCTTGCTTATCATCACGAACTGATTTTTCTTTTTCCAATGTAACATTTTTTGTTCTTAACGCTTTGGTACATTGAGAAATTTTTGGAACTAATTGTAACAATTCTAAATAATTAAAATCAGAATTAATTTGACGCGCTATGCCAAAAAAGTGTTCATAAGCCTCCGATCCATGCATCCATGGTAAAAATGGATAATTTGGGTAATATTCCTGATGTGCTTTTACCAACAAAACTATAGACTCCGCAAGAGAAACAAAAATTGCAAAACTTTGATCAGCTAAAAAGTTCTTGCTAACAGAATAAAATTAGAATACTTTTCACTCATATTTGTTACATATTCTCTTCAAAATCGTAAAAAGAAAAAGGATGTCATTGACATTTTATCGCCTTTTTCAAATTAGTGCGACTATGCGATTTTTGGGTTGTATCATTATGTGAGAATCGATTTTCAAAAGATTTTCAATTTCACGTGACAATCAACAAATAATTAGCCAATGATTACAAGATTACACAAGAATAAAAAATTTATAGTTAATTTCGCGTTTAGAATTTTTTTGTCGCGTAAAAAAATAGTTGAAAATGTATAAAATTGGGACTTGTTTTGGATGTCAAAAGTGTCTCTATTGTGGGGTAAATTTGAAAATAGAAATATGTGATTGTAATAAAACAGCTAAGCCATCCAGAAAAAACCGAACAGATCTCGTTAAAAACGCATTTACAAGAGTCTTTAACCCTATTTCTAATCCTAAACAAATAGATTTTATAAAAAATAAAAATGATAGCTTTGCTTATGGATTTGATTTAGCAAAAGGCTTTCAATTTTCATTCTGTTCAACATGTAATAGTTCTTACCAACGTTTATCTAATAAAAAATCTAAATCTAATAACTCTTCACAAAGAGTTCGTACATCAGAAAATGTGATACAATTAGAAGAAAACATTGAAATAATTAATGTTGAATCTACTACTGAAATTTCACAAGAAAGTACTACGTCAGATGGGTCAACATTTTACAATAAATCCAAACGTAGCAATTCAGAAACTGAAAATGAAGATAGTACTGAATTGGAAATAGAAGTTAATTACAAACTATCTATAAAAAAGGCAGACGGTACTT